AAAAAAAAAAAAAAAAAAAAAAAATTAAATAAAAGTACATAATATTTAACCTTCATAATTTTTTCTGTAGAGATTTAATTTGACCATCCAATTACTGCTCTTTCAATTTCAAAATATAAATTTTTTTATTTATCAAAAAAAAAAAACTATACAACAAAAATTTTATATAAGAGAAATTAATTATCATTTATATATACTACTATAAAATTTTTTAAAAAAAAAGTTAAATCAGTTATATTTTGAAGCAGAAGGAGGATCACTATATTCATTTAAAGAGGGAGGGAATACAATTCAAATTGATTTAATGATCGCAGAAGGGAAGCAATAAAAAGGTTTTCCGTTCGGTTTGTATTTTTTGAATTTTTTCCGATCGTTTCATTCTGTATTCTCCAATAGCAGAATGGGGCTATGGGAAGCTTTTCTCAATTGGCTTCGGAGGTAAGTTGTTTCCTTGTTTGGTCGGTAAGAAAATGAAAGAAAAGAAAGAGGAAATGCGGATTGAAGTTTTAATTTTTGAAATTGATTCAATGTCTGCGATTGGAGAAAACATTACCCTCTAAGTTTTCTTACTGTTTTCTGCATTTAGCTTTTAGAGTTTCATCAATTTGATGGTAAAGATTAGATTTTTAGCCTAAGAAAACATGAATTTATGCCTTTTTCAGCTTTTTTGTTTGTTTTTGGAAGCGCATTTTCTTTCTTTTGAAAGGTACATTTATAAGGATATGGAGGGATTTAAAGCTTAGGAGTTAGGAGCTAGCTAGAAGATAATATTCCTCGTTGCCAATTTGGCTTGGTTATTTGGATGATCTATTTCTTTACAAAACAGAATTTTTCTGATTTTTCTATATGTAAAATTTTTATCTTTTGAATTATTATAATAATGGCAAAAAGTTTTTTTCATGTAAGGTGTATGTGATGTGATTTTTCCTTCATGAATTGCCATTGGCTTTCCCTATGATATCTAAGCAATTATAAGGGGCCACCTTCCCTTGTTGAATAATTAATCATCTATAGATTGAATCCCGAGATAGGGGTTTCTGCATATGTTATATCAGGAATCTGTGGCATTCTGTGTATGTATGCAGAATATTTAGGCTGAAGGCAGGCTGTTATTTTAAGGGAAAGTGTTGGTGCCTTAGTATCTTTCTAATTGGTGGCCTTGTCCATATTGAGTGTCTACTCTTTTGTCCCCGGCGTGATACTGAATGCCAATTTAGTGACCAGCAGCATCTTTTTGTTTTCTTGTTTAGTCCATATAAGAGAGCTGCATAAAGTTTTATATATAATGAAGAACTAGAGCGAAAAGGTTGAACTAGTTGATTTGAGGAATTCAGAGTGAAAAGGAGAAAAGATTTAGGAGAGATTAGAGAAGTCGGCTTGTGTGTTTTCCTTTTTCTAGTTTGTTATGAAAACCTTTTTGTCTCTATAAAATTAGAATAGAAACTCTAGACTAGAACTGTTGATCTTTTGGTTTCTTGGTCAGACACAATGGTCTTCTCACTGGAGAGTTGCACATGTTGTGGTTGTGGTGGTGCAGCCGTACTGCCTGCGGTAGTTCTGACAAGATGGTGGCAGTGGGGGCATTTCTAGAGCCCTCCTGATGCTGCTGATGTTAACCGTTTTCATTATTGGAACAATTATCGACATCTAATGTAAATTTAGTTCTATTAACATTTGAAACTCTTGTTAGGCTTTAGTTATGTACTAGAAAGTGAGAGTGATTTAGTTTTAAATAGATAAAACTTTCCATGATTCATTGCTTTTATGAAGGTATGTAGATGATTGGTCAACTGCTTTATTGATCGTTTTGATGGATTCATAAAGGTTGGTCAGTAGTTAATGGCTAGCATGTTTAACATTTTTACTGGTTGATCTCTTTGACTATTACCATATGGAAAAACATTTGCCGTTTTTCCACTAGCTATTTTTTTATTGTATTCCTTACAATATATATTCAGGAGAAGGCTTTGAATTTTTTTAGAATGTCTATTGATGTCTGTGTTTAGTTCACCTTCTATGATATATGCATTCCTTGTGTGAGTGTTGTACTTCTCTTTCAATTGTTATTGTTAATTATAAGAAAGTCTTCTCGGTTTTATGAGCAAGTATCTTTGTCATAAATGATAAATCTAACTGTTACTCTCATTTTGATTGTTGAATTGAATTACATGCATAATTTCACCATAATTTCTCCTGTCTGTAGTCTATTTTTCAAGCAAGAAATGGAGTTATCCTTGATAGGTCTTCAAAATGCTGGAAAAACATCATTAGTTAATGTCATTGCGGTCAGTGAATATTCATTAAAAATGGTCCGTGTTGTTTTTCTTTACTTTCTTACTTTTGCACTGATGGTCAAGTTTCTTTTTCTGAATCTAACTGCTAGGCCGGTGGATATAGTGAAGACATGATCCCAACGGTAAGTAATAAGAAAATACATTATCCCTAATAATTTTACTTGCCATTTATATTTCTTTCAAGTTCAGTTATGGCTGATTAATCTCTATGGAAAATTTCAAGGCATCTTGTATGTTTACAGGTAGGCTTTAATATGAGGAAGGTAACTAAGGGGAATGTAACAATAAAGTTATGGGATCTTGGTGGTCAACCAAGGTTCCGGAGTATGTGGGAGAGATACTGCCGTGCAGTTTCAGCTATTGTGTATGTCTTTATCACTTTTTGCATTCTCTATGCCTTTTCAATCTAAAACCTAGGAGTTATGCTCTTTTGAGAGGCAAATACCTGTTCTGATATGCATATGAAATTCTATAAATTGCTGAACCTATGTGTCTCCCTTTCTCAGTAAAAAATAGATAACTAAGAGTTATCTATCATCATCTATCTCATAATTCTCCACAAAGACAGATGTATATGAGGCATTATAATCTTAATGAATCTTATGTTGAGAATGCCTCATTTCTGTCTATATGTAGTCAATGTCTTTGTTGTCTTAGTTTCAAAGACACGAAACTTACAATGCATTCTTTTGCAAATTAGTAAGACTTTCTATTCTTCTCATGCTCATTTATTAGTAGTTGAAATGTTTTAATATCATCCATGTCTTTATTTTGGTTAGAAATCGATTACTTTTTGTCAACTGGATTTTGATGGCTAGAAATTTCATAACCTTGTTTCTGCAATCTGCAGTTATGTTGTGGATGCTGCTGACTACGATAACATACCTGTTTCAAAAAGTGAACTTCATGACCTGTTAAGTAAGCCCTCACTGAATGGTATCCCATTGCTGGTTCTGGGGAACAAGATGGACAAACCAGGAGCTTTAAGTAAGGAGGATCTGACAGAACAAATGTAAGCAAAGAATCTTAAAATCCTAGGATGTTTTGTATGTTAACTATGAAAAATGAACCTTTTGTGCTAGAAGATTATCCCAACATTCGGTGTTATATATGTCAGTAGGAACTAGGAAGGGAAGAAAAGGCTGAAAAGTACTGTTTATGATTGTGGCTTTCTTCTGTACAGGGATCTGAGATCCATTGATGATAGAGAAGTTTGCTGTTATGTGATTTCATGCAAGAACGCAACCAACATTGATTCAGTTATTGATTGGCTTGTAAAGCATTCAAAAACGAAGAATTGATCTTCATTCCTGTGCTTCTCAGCTGTCATTCACACCAATCATCAAATCATGGCTCTATTACAGGCCGACAGATGTGCTTTGCTATCTATCTAACTCGGTTTGTTGCTGTCTGACCGTTGTATTAGTCTTCCAATTAGGCTTGAAACATATTACATATTGTTTTTGGGTTGACATCTGAGTTGGGGTGAGTTTTGGAAGTGTATTTGAGCCTTTTTATGTTCAGAATGCGAATTTGAATTGTGATGAACCTGAACCTGACATGGTGATACATATGTTGTGGTTTTGAATGAAATAATATTTTGAATTTTAGTGGTGGATCCAAAATGTATTAGATTGCACAATCCTTATTATTGAATGGGGGTTGTTTCCTATACAAGAGTTTTTATTTTGTAATTCAATATAATTCAACTGTAAAACAAATAACTTTTCTTCTGTTGGCGAGATATATAGATGGCATCCCCTGGTGGTGGTAGCCAGTTGAGCATGAATTTGAACCCCAGCCATTTCCTCTTGACTTCACAATAAATAAAACTAATAAATTTGCCCTCTTTTAAAAAAATTTAGACTTTTAACTTTCTGGAGAAATAGTACAAAAAAAAGTATATGAATTTTAATAACTTTATTAATTAAGGATATAAACTTTTTTACATACTAAGGTTATGAACTTTCAAAAGCTATTAATCAAGGATATGAACTTTGAGTTTTCAACAATCAAGGATTGCCTAGCTGTCCGAGTTGAAGTGGCATACAAAATTCGTTAATGGACCCCATAATTTATGCTGATATGTTAAGAAAATGGACCTTACATTCAAAGTTAGACGACAATAAATTGATAAATGAAATAAAGGGGACTCGTGGGATCCACAAGTTGTGTTCTCTAGTCTTTGGGAGTCTCACCAGCATCATATTTTGTTTTATCAATTTGTTGTCCTAATCAGCATATAAAGTCAATTTTCCCAACACAACAACATAAATTGTGGGCTCTACTAAACCTGGCAAACCGACGGATTGGGTCGGGTTTGGGTCGGGTCAAAACGAGTAATGGGTCAAAATCGGTTGGGTTAAAACGGATCACGAATCAATGAAGGTAAACCTTAATCCGCCTATTACGGGTCATGGGTCAACCCGTGGGTTGACCCAATTAAATTTTTTTTCTTTTTTTTTTTTATAATTTGTACCTATTATCATTCAAAGAAAATTATTTAAAAGATTTAAAAAAGATATTCAACATCTTATAAAAATAATTTTTTTATTAATTTAATATATACATATTTATAGTTCCTTAGAATCACTTTATTTATTTCCTT